AGAGAAAAGGTCTGCCCCTTTGTCGCTGCAAACGAAGGAGTCAAGCCCAAAACACCCAACTATATAGGGGGGTTGTGCAAATAAAGGAATGTGTGTGCGCGTGACTGTCCAAAATGAAAGAATTGGCCACATCAGAAACACCCAAATATATAGTGTGTGTGTGTTTGTACAAATAAAGGAATCAGTCAAGCCAGAAACCTGACTATTTAGAGGGGTGGTGTTTGTGCAAATAAAGGAATCGGGGTGTGTATGCATGTCTGTGAGCATGTGTTTGTGCAAATGAATCAGTCAAGCCAGAAACACCCAAATTATATATAGTGTGTGTGTGCAAATAATCAGTCAAGTCAGGAATATCCAAATATATAGGGGAGGGTTGTGCAATAAGTGTGTTTATGACTGCAAAATGAAGGAATTGGTCAAGCCAGAAACGCCCAAATATACAGTGTGCGTTTGTGGAAATAAAGGAATCAGTCAAGCCAGAAACACCCAACTATATGGGGGGGTGTTTGTAAAAATAAAGGAATCGGTGCGTGTGCGTGTATGTGACTGCAAAATGAAATCAGTCAAGCCAGAAACACGCAAATATATGGGGGGGGGGGGGGGGGCACGAAAAGAAAAGGGGGGGGGTGTTGCGCAACTAAAGGAATCGGTGTGTGTGGCTGTCCAAAATGAAAGAATCGGTCGAGCCAGAAACACCCAAACAGCGAGAGGTGTGTGTGTGTGCGCTTGTGCAGAGTAAACAAAGTGGAAGCTGCTTCCTGCAGCTCCTGCGTGCGGGTCACCATTCCCACAGTCCCGCTGCTGAGTTATGTAGGTTACAAAGGAAGGGAGGGCGGGCGCGGGAAGCTCTGACGTCCGCATTTTGTTCCCGGGCTGCTGCAGCCCGTGCGCGCAGGCTCGGCCGGGGACGTGACTCTATGCAATTGGCACTTGACGCTGCCGAAACGAAATGCACATTCCAGGGACACGGAGCCAGCGCCGCCGCGGCCCCGTCACGGCGCTAAGCACCGCCTCCCGCGCTGCTATTTCTGGGCTCGAAGCTCCCTCCCGAGCTCAACTTTTACTTAACGTAGCGAGAGCAGCGTGCACAGGATCCCCGCATTGCGTGTTGTAATAGCCCCCCCTCGCCCTGAGCCAGCTCGGGGCTCTGCGGCTCAGCCCTGCCGCTCCACTCCCTCCCACCCGCCTGATGCTTTGCCATGCTCCTGGCATTTTTGCTATTATTATTATTATTTGCTTGCCACGCGACCGATCTGATTCTGCAGCTCCCAGTACCACCCGTAGCTCCCTCCTTTTTGCCCCCCGGCCTTGGCAGCCTGGGGCTTGCTTTGCTTGGTCAATGGCGATCCTGCACTGCTGGCCATCGAAGCTGAGGCTGCAGCACTGGGCAGCCCAGGTCACAGCCCAGTGGGCAGCCGGGTGTTTCGATGTGGCTTCGAACGAAGTGCTTTGTCATCACAGCGAGCAACTGGCGCCCTGCACCCTGGCTGCTAGGGCATGCTCTCCTCCGGCCGCAGGGGGAGGCTGAGGAAATTATCCCTCCCCCCGCCGCCATGCTCTTGATCCGCCGGCCCCACTGCTTTCCCTTCGGAGCTGGACGAGCGCTGTCTGTCCCCACAACCCCTGGCGTGGCAGGGGCTGGCCTTCCTGCTTTGTAGCAATCACAACTTCTCGGCAGAGGTGAAAGCAGTCGGGACTCGTAGT